CACTAACCAGCCTCCCAAAAAGCATCTGAAACCACCCCTTCGCCACAACTTTAACCCATTGAGTTCTGCTCCAAACGAGCCCCAATTCCTCGGACGTTCGGTGTCAAACGGACGCTCTGGATCCCTATAGAAAAAAGACAATTTGCTAGCATTTTCCACCACTAACCAGCCTCCCAAAAAGCATCTGAAACCACCCCTTCGCCACGGCTTTAACCCATTGAGTTCTGCTCCAAACGATTGAGTTCTGGCGGATCTATCATTATTCCCTGGCGCGCTCCCCCTTGCGTCGGCCGGGGTCGGCGGATATACAATACTATCTATACACGTCCTTTCCATGTTTTTCGAGTTGCGTCCAAGGCTTCGGTCCGACCGTCCTCGCGTCTGTCAGGTGGTCTTCCAGAGACGTGACGCTGGGCGCACGGTGGCGTCGGTCCACTGAAAATGGTTTTTGGGGGTACTGATATGAGTGATATTGATATCGATCCACCAAAATTGCTTTGATTTGATTGATTTGATGTGCTTCTTTTTCGTGTGAATTGATTTTTGGTTCATGGGTTTGCTATTGTCATTGATGGATATCGATGGGTTTTGAAATGGATGTTTGAAAATGGGTGTCCTACTGGTAAGGAGATCATGGCAATGCATCATCGCACTGTTTACTGCAGAGTGTTTCGGATTGGTCGTCCTCCATTTCTATTGCTTCATGAGTTATATAATGCAGCTGCATGGCAGAAAAAGGAAAACAGTTCCACTAGTTCTACCTTTACATGCCTTGACGATTGGTAAAAGAAAATCGTCCAACCAGACTCTCCAGCTGGAATTCTCTTCACCTGATCCTCCCCTTGCTCTTTCGCTTTCCCTTTGCTCTGCAGTGCGGAGCACTCGCCAAGGAGCGGTTCTTGCTGCTCCTGGGTCCACAGGGTGTTGGGCTTCTTGGAAGCGCTATATGCTCATTGACATCCCATGGCCACCCTGTCGGGGCTGCCGGATGTCCACGAGATATCAAGTGAGTGGCACCAAATGACCATCATGTTATGAAGACGAAGGGCATGCAATATTGAGATAGTGCCAGATTTGTTGCTCATCGTTTTGGCCAGAACTGATCAAGTTGCTTGCCGTGAGGAAAAACCGAGTGGTGGACTACTTCTTGCAGTCTGTGCGCATAGAGCGAGAATCCTTGAATTTGCTCAGCATCAGTTCTGTAGTTCTTTGGACCAGAGTGACCAGAGTGGCCAGTTTGCCCACAGGATCTTGCAATTTGTCACACAGCAGTTGTTATTTCCAACTGAGTGGAGCCTGAAAAAGACTTGTTTCCTCCCATTTCTGGGACCGGAATTTCTGGGACCCGCGGAGCTTGCGCCCGCTTTCTGGGACCCACACCAAGGAATATATGCAATTGCACCGAGACACCACAGTCTCACAGCTCACGGTCCGGACACCTGGTCGCTTCCGGGCGGGCTCGTCGATCTAGGATCGACGAGTCGTGTCGTCGTCCACAGATCCAATCGAAGTAAAAACAACAAAGACTGCGTGACTGCGTCATCAATGGATATCAATGGAAGGTCCGAAAAAGGTCTCAGGAAACATGCGAAGAAAGAGTTCAGAAACCAACTTAGAAGTGAGGGTCATAGAGGATGGTGAGGAAGAAGAAAGAACCTGCATGTTTGGCACAGATCCTAATACTGCTTGGATGCAACTTGATAGAGCTTTACAAAGTGTTCGAAAAAAACAGGTTGACAACATTCATTATATGTTTATATTGTGGTACTTGGGACGTGTGCCGAGAGTGATAAACCGTAGAGAGCACAAAGCTGTGAAGTCAGTCATTGAGTGAAGCAGTGCGCACTTGTGACCCATTCTTGAGTGTGCTCACATTGATTCTTGCGTGCATGACTCTTTCTACGCCGGATCATTCTCGGTTTGGTCGGCAGAGATGCCAACACCTTGACTTTGTTTCACCATGTTTTCTTTGAGCATCGAAAAGCCTACCCGATCTCCCCTTTGCCAAGCAATGATGCTCCACCTTTGGCCTCGTGGCCAGGTCACACCGGTGGTCTCAGACGGCTTGCTCTACCACGAGGCGAGGGATGACTGCGTCGGATCCAACGGACACCTGCAACCTGGTGATCCCCCTGCAGGGACTCGGGACGGTGGAAACTCATGGGACTCGGGGCGACTCGTCCCCAAGGTGCAACCTGCACCCATATCATTCGTTTTCCTTGGTGGTTTTGCAGAAGGCTTAGCTTGGTTCCACCAAAAAGAGGGGAAATCTCCATGGGAACCACCAAAAGGCTTAGCTGCTTGGTCCCACTGCACCCATATCATTCGATGTTTCACCCAGGACTCGCCCTTGGTCCGGGCCGCGCAGCTGGGCCGCGCCTTGGTCTTGGATGAGGCAGACAAGGCACCCTTGGAGGCGAGATCGAGCCGGAGCCGGGGATTCAATGAGTTTATATGGTTATTGTTTGAGAAAAGAAATATACTGTATAACCACATATGACAACACCAACCAGTTGTTACATATATATATATATATATGTGTGTGTGTGTTGGGTGATATATATATATATATGTATATAACCAGTTGGGTTTTGGAAGATCAAACGAACACCAGACACGGGAGGATTTGGAGAAATGCGGTTCTGAGAAATGACTCGCTACACGGGTCGACGAGTTCCCGTTTTCTCCGACGAGGTGGTGGTGGTGCTGAAGTCCTTGATCGAAGACGGACAGTTGGCGCTGCCCGACGGACGCAGGCAGCGGTTGGTACCGACGGGTGTACAATTCGACGACACTGGTGGAAGCCTCTCTGAAGCCAAAGAGGGACGAAACAGTTTCCTTGTGAAGGTGTGGTTCCATATTTCCAAAGCCACTGCCTTGGAACATCTTGGAACAAAGACCCAGTGTGCCACACTAGAACTTTGTGGATACTGTACTAATTCCGAACGTTCTGTGGAAGCAGACCTCGATAGAGATTTATAATGATGTCCTGCAAGAAGACACAGCTGGACAGTCGAGCTGGGAACCAGCTGGTGCTAAACTGATGGTGAAAGTTTTGACATGTTTTGACCAAAGATTGCTGCTTTGGGTGAAGAGCCTTCTGTTTTTTGCAGTTGGCTGTTGGGGATGTTGGACTCTGACGCCATAGCAGCAAATGTGCTTCACGGATTTCACCCCCACTTCCGGAGTTCCCAGCAATTTTGGTCACGATATGTTGCGATCTGTTTGAAGACCAGGTCGCCAGAAAGTATTGATGGCATGGAAAGAAGGGAATCACGTCGCCTGAATCGAACATGAGCTACCCATGATCTTCCGCGAAAAAGCGGGTTTCTGCTTTGTGCCAGGCTGGCCAGCACCTCGGAGGCGGGCGAGCGCACCATCCAGGTGCATCCTGAGTTTCGGATGCCACCTGGTGAAGCAGGTGGGAAGCATCTGGAACGTCGTTCAGAACCCTTCTTCCTCGTTGCCCTTCAATCGATTCATTTGGGACTCAGGACTCTACATTGTGAAAAGCAAAGGCACAATAAGCCACATCTTCTGGGGATTTCATGATGTTTCATGGTTATGCCAGGCTACTGTATGCCTCTATTATGGGAAATATATAATTCAGAATCGGCCCGGCTCAATGATGAGAGTTTGCGACGTTGGCGACCTCAACGTTTTGTTACAGTCTTCTGCCGT